TTCCCCCCCCCCCCCCCCATGGTTGCCCAGGATTATCACTGTACTTTGACAAAGAAATTTAAGGGGAAGACTACCAGAAAGTAACTAAATTCAAATTCATTTTTAGATTTGATGCTATTGGACCTAGGTTCCATAGAGATGGAGAGAATGTAATTCTCCCTCCCAAAGAGCTGGTATATACCAGCTTTCCCCACTTGGTGCCCACCAGCGGTGTGGGCATTGGCTGAGAATTCTGGAATTGCAATTCCAACATTGTGGGAAGCTGCCCTGTTGGGGAAGTTGGATGTAGACATTCATTATGCTATTCCAACACATTAAGAACTGGGAATAAACAATAGTCATTATGTCTGGATTTGTATGTCTTTTGATAGGATCTCATGTTCTACCAAATTCTTTGGTTATGATTTTGGCACATTTACTTCTTGTATTGCTGGGGGTTTCCAGTACTTCTGTCTAGTACTAGGAAGATAAATCTCCAGTATTATTGCTACCAGTTATCATTCAACTTGATGAAAAATAATTTGCTGTAGAATGTATTTGAAAAGAGAATGTTGGTGAAATTCTAGTGTGAATTCTGTTGTTCTTTCACTTTTGTTTGTTCCCCATGTTTCCATTAAATGTCAAGAGAAGCCACTGTGAGAGAAATCTTCCCACTCCATGCCCCCACTGGGCTTTTTCAGCAGTGATTCTACTCCAGAGAGGTCTGCCCTTGAGTAATTGGTGGAGAATTGTTTCTTCCCCTAGAGAAATTTAGAGGCATCATCCACCTAATTTCTTGGCCTATCAGTTTGGTGGGGAGAAAAATGGAACCCCATTCATGCCCTGTTCTAGCAATAACATTTCATGCCCCCCCTACCCCCATCCTCCAGCTTTCTCCAGTCTCCAGCATTGTCTTTTTTTTTTTTTAATCCGTTTTTAGTCATGACCGATTCTACGGAGACTGCCTGGATGAGTCCCTGCAGTTTTCCTGGCAAGGGTTTTTTTTTTCGGAAGTGGTTTGCCATTGCCTCCTTCCTAGGGTGGAGCCCAGCTGGTGGTCGCAGGAAATTGAGTCTCTTCCATTGCGTTGCGTCCAACAACCGGCAACTGGTTCCCATTTTCCCACACAAGGAGCCGCCAGCATTTTTCCTCCCACCGGGGTGAGAGTACCTATTCATCTACTTGCTTACACTTTCAAGCTGCTAGGTGGGCAGGAGCTGAGGGCACAAGACGGGAGCTCACCCCACCGCGTGGAGCTTGGGCTCGAACCGGTGAAGTGTTGACCATTTCTGACCAGCAACTTCCAGCATCATTACGCCACTGTGCCACTGCATCCCCCTTAGCAGTGTCTTGTACATAAGCTATTTATGAGTGTTGCATGTGTATGTGTGCTCTCAAATTACAGCTTATGTACATGACAGTTTGGGTCCGCAGTGCCATCAAACTAATTTCCACTTTCTGAAATGCAAACCGTGCTGACTACCTCTCTCCTGCCCCGGATAACTTTTCATTTCCCTCTGAAAAGACTTTGTTCTGGATAATCTACTCAGATGAGGGAATTCCTCAAAACAAGAGCCACTACAGAAAATATGGGTTTTCTGGAATTTTTTGGAATTTGAATTTCCAGTGTGCAAACAGAAGAATAGGAAATGACCTTTGTCCATTTCCAGATATAACTATACATACCTTCTATTTTCTCTTCCCATATGAAGTGAGCCTCCACCACAATGTTGTATTCCTGGATACTGGATTCTGAATTTTCTTTGCTCTGCTACCTACCCAGCAACTTACACAATGAAGTGATGAAGTGAACAAATGCTAATGAAAAAACAATTGGGCTATTTACATGTAACCTAATTATGGGTTAATGTATACAAACTTTGGTCAGCCTTCTAACATAACTTGCATAGTACTGTCTGCCACCTGATCCCAGCCTGCCAATCCTGTCAACTGCTACAAAAAGACATTTTTTGAGATGATGCTTCTGATTTTCCATTGGAAATATGGTATCTTCTTAACCTGAAAAGGCTTTGATTGTTATGATGTAATATTTGAGCTGACTCTGCCACAAGTGCTACAGACAAACAAATCATTGGAAACAAAATGCAAAAAAGAATCTTTTTTCATAGTTGTGGAGATAATGGTCAGGAAGAAGTTTGAGTCAGATCCCCCCTCACCTCATTTAAGTTTCCTTGGTTAAAATCCCCTTGAGTAGCTCTGTTCCCATATGAATAGGGGCTTGGTTGTCCTTTTCCATTTCCACCAATAAGCTTGCCTTGTCTTGCTTCTCTTTTGCTAGAAGGCACAGATCATAAAAGAACATGAGGAACAGGAACTGGATGCTTGCTTTTCCTGGTCTGAATGCTTGTTAGAACTCAAACATTCAGTGGAAGAGTGGGAGAAAAACACACCAAAGCAATATACCAAAATTGAAATAAAGAGAAAGACAAGGCCACACCTATGCCCAAATGATGAAGTGAACAAATGCTAATGAAAAAACAATTGGGCTATTTACATGTAACCTAATTATGGGTTAATTTTTCAGGATTGTGGCTTGGCTTGCTGAAGCAGTTTGACAGAACTAAGAATGAGCTAAATGGAACAAATCTAGGTTAAAAAAACATGTATTGTCGAGTTCCTCTCTTAGCTAAGAAGGTGACTGTCTGACCTGAGTCAAATCACAATACCTCAGCCTAACCTACCTCAGGCATTTGTCATGTTGGATAAAAAGAGGCAGAGAAAAGTAATGTCTATGTCCTTTGCTCTTGTGGAATGGGTAGAATTCAAATTCGGTAAGTAAGGTGAATTTCACAGAGAAGACCATAGTAAGAAAGCTCTGCCAAGTTACCCAGCTTGAAGAGTCCATTAAAAATAATGAGTTCTTTGCAAAATTACTATTATTGCACACTTTTTCTGTAGTCTCCCCCAGAACACCACATAGAGTGATCAATAGAATCGCTTTGGAAAAGACTCTATGGATGTCATTGTCTGAGTTCTATTATTGGGCCAAAGTGGATCCCTTCAGGCAGCAGTTGTGATGAGCAATGAATGGACATCCAAGAAGCCAGATAATTAATTAATGACTACTGTCTCAGTCCAGGCTGGGGCTATATGGGCCTGGAAGGCAGCTTCTAATCATCTTTCTCTCTCTCACTGACTGGGTGAAAAGTTTGCCAAGCAAATATTCTTCAAGAGTCAGCTGCTCGGTTCATGCAACCTGTGTTAGGTCAAAGCCTCCATTCTATTGGTAATGGAAACGGCTATCAGTGCCTTCTTTCTCAAGCATCAACATCATTTTGGCCAGCCTTGTATAGGTGCTATCTGTCCTGCTTTGAAAGAAATGTGGATAGCCATCTATTACTATGGAAAAATTCAATACATAGTGTGTGTCTACTTACTTCGCAGACATGGTCAAATATGGAACCGACTGGCTGGGTTTGTGCAACATATTAGCCCAGTCTAAAATAGGATTGGGTAGTTTGTGATTCATCTTGTTGGAATTCAGCCATAATCTCAGCATGTTGTGTAAGCCAGGCCATCACTTCAAGCCTCTGCCTTTTACACAGAAGTCTCAGGTTTAATCCTTGGCCTTTTAAGGCAAGGCTGGGAAAGACTTTAGTCTGAAACCCTGTAGAGCTGCTGTCAGCTGGTGTAGCTCAGAATGCAACACCTGTAGCTTTAAGGCTGAGGTCAAGGTCTCTTCGAACATTTTAATGGGACAGAAACAGAGATGACTAAATGCTTAAGAAGTAATCATTTAACCATGTTTCAGTAATACATTTTAATTCAATATAAATTAAATAATCTTTCCTGACCTCATTCACTTCATTGGTCTGGACCCCATTCCAATTTCGGGGAATTGGTTCCTTAGGAAACCACTTAAAGGGACCACGTATAGCCTTGGTCTCAAAAAAAAAAAAAAAAGTCAAAAGAAAAGAGTAGATAATAATGAGCTATAAGCCAAAGGGTTGACTTGTTATGGGACAGCTTCTTATACTGCCATTTCTTTCGAGATTTTGTAAAGATTACTGAGGATTTTCATGACATCATACTTCAGAAAGATACTCTGTAATAGTTGTAGTACTAGTATGTATTGCTACTTGCATTACTATCACTAGATAGACACTCAACTATTTTTACCAACTACTTAGATGGCATACTACATATCTAGCTTATATCATTAATTTGACCAAAACTGTAATTTAGAGGATAACAAGAAGTCCACATAATATTAGAAAAAAAGACATTTTGTGTGACTAGTTTCTTCCAGGTGAGTTCTACCGTAAGCCACAGAGTTTGAGGTCTTTGTGTATCAGATGCCTTATTACATTGAAGACAATGGCGTTCAATTGGACAACATTTTATAAACAGTTGCTGTCAATGAAGCAAAACTGAGAAGAATGTCAGCATTTACAGCTTAACTGCAGCTAAACTATGGCATTACCAATCTGCCATTCTTCACAGTACATCATTTTTGGATGTATTCTTCTTCCATGTACAAAAGTCATTCTTTAGTTAAAGCACTTACAATTGCTCTGCACACATGATGCACTTGTTGCTGTAAGTTTGGCCAGAATTATCACGTACTGGGTCATTCTCACGTGTACAGGTGAGTTCTCCATTGGGCCCCATCTGTGACCGATATTCATAGCAATTGTCACTCCTCTAGAGGGAAAGAATATAAATTGATTTGGACTGGTTCTTAGAAACTGTTATGTTCTTCATCCCCAGCAAATGCATCATTGATATATATTATATTAGGATGTCATAAGGTCAACCATGTCCCGAGTCATGTGGGTCTGACTGAGAACCTTCCCTAGCCCATTAAAAGCATCCATACGGTGTTGTCTGTGATGCTAAGAGTCCAATTATCATTCCTTTGCAAGAGTATTCAAAGTGTGCAGTTGATCTAGCTAATAAATTTTATTTCAGCAGGAGTGAAATACAGTCAATCTTCACTAATCATAGCAGCAATTACTAGGCAGGCAATATCATGAGAATAATTCAGAGAATGCACATCTCTACGTCAACTGCTGATGAAAATATAAGTGTTGCAAAATAAATGCATAAAAATGAATAAAGCCCACAGCATGATCTTAATGGTACAACATGACAGATTGTTACATACCCGTTGCTTTAAGATGGAAGATGGAAATGCAAATATAGTATAAAAGTCACCTGTGTGTGTGTGTGGGGGGGGGGGTATTTGAATTACAAGGACATGTTATAAATTATCAAAGATGCAGATTTACTTTTAAAACTGGCACTGAACTTATTTAACTTAATCATCCCTGGTAAGGCCACATGGCGCATGCTGTCAAGGATAAGGAGAGGAGTAATTTAATGAATGAGTTTTTTATACCTTAAACATGACAAGCATATTTTTTTGTACAAGAAGCATACTGTGTGTCAGTATACTATACGTACCTCCTAGTTAGTTGGATCAAGGCAACAGTTTGTTTGGTTGCAAGGAAGTCACTAGATTAGAGATCTTATCTTTCATAGAATAATGAGAGCATGTTTGGAGTAAAACTGGGCTTTGTCTGCACCTTGGCATATTGGCCAAAATGTGCCCCAACTAACTGGGGAGGGAGTGCTAGGCACAGAAGCTGTCTCAAACAAAGTAAAAAGAATTAGGTATGTTACAGACTGCCATCAAAGGCATGGAGTTATCCTAAGGACAACTATAAAAAAGGCTCTGGGTGAGAAAAATGAATATAAGAAAATAATTGTGGCTTAAAATGAGAAGAGAAAGATACATTGTATAGTGTATATATAGAGAAAAAGATAATTGCAAAGAATGGAACCAAAGAGAGTAAGGAATTTTACATTTTAAAAGGCAGTGAAAATTCAGAGGCATTTTGATGAAAGGTGAAAACGAACCTAAAGAAGGAACCTCCAGTAGATTGAATGGAATTAAGAATGAAACTGATGAAATGAATTGAAACTGAAATATTTTAGAGATTGATATGGGAATGAGATTGATATGTCAAAGAATGGAATTAAAATGAACGCACTATATGTTAGTGTCCAGGAAAAAATGGATGAAAAGAAAATCACAAATACTGTGAGAATGTTGAAGAGTGGTAAAGGGTTTGCATGAAGATGGCATCTATGCCTAATGACTGGAAGAATGCCATTATTTTCCCCCTGTACAAAGCGAAAGGTAGCAGGAAGTGAATGCAAAAACCACAGGGGAAGTTGTGTGGCAGAATACTGATTAAAGGTAGAAGAGGTGACACTGAGCAAAATTTGGGAAGTGAAATGGGGCTTTGTGCCAGGTAGGAGAAGTTCAGACCAGCTGTTTGCTGTGCAGTGTGAAATAAGAATGGGTTACAAAAACAGAAAAGTATGGAGAAGTATAGTGGTTGGTTGTGGGTATAAACCAGTTTTAGCTATGTTTCCTTTCCTTTCCTTTTCTCATGGTTTTAATTTCTTTGGCTTACTATTTCTTATTCCTTATTCCTTTCCTGCACTCTTCATAACATTTTTCCCCTGAAATCAGATAGTCTAATGGGTATTCATATATTGTACAGTGTAGTCAAAATCTTTGAGTGTCTGCAGAACGCAACAACTTCTTGATGATGTTTAGCATGCTGGAATATGTCTGGGGTGCTTTGTCTTGTTCATCACGAGCAAGAAATGCAGAATGGTAATGGTGATAGAGAAACCTGGATAAAATTTAATCTCACCTCATTGTTTCCATATTGTGGTTGGCTCTGTTCAAGAGAATTCATCTTACCTCCATTTTTGCTGTACAAAAAAGTATAAAACATTTTTAAACCTTTCAGCAGACAGTAATCAGATTTAGTTGAAGAGCAATCACGTTATTGTCTACTCACAACTGCTGTAGGCACATCATGCACCTATTGTTATGCTGTTTGCCTGAAGCATCACGAACTGGGTTATGCTCTCTGGTGCAGGAAGCCCCCCCATTAATGAAGTAAGGCCAATATGCACGGCAAGTTTCATCCTACAGTGGAGGAAAACAAAACTCTTCTTTTTGTAGTCTGAGTTGAAGATATTATTTACTACAAGTCATCAACTATATACTAACTGAGCGGAGGAAAGCTAATTCCACTAAGGAGCAATATAGTAACAGGGTTTCCTAAAAACAATGCAGGACAATAAAGCACATAATTATACTCTCTCACAAAGTGCCCCAGCTTCTCGATTTAAGATTAGTATACATGCTATCATTTCCCATGCAAGTCAATAAAACCCATTGCCAGAAAATCCATCTCTCTTTCTCTGTCTCAAATCTAAGTGCTTGTTGATTTTGTAAAAAATATATTAGACATTGTAAACACTTTATAGTCGACTCTGTTTTGATAATTTTATTTTTTGCCTTTAAAAGGCCATTTTAATTGAGAAGCAGGGCCATTCCCTAGCTTCTCTACTTCTACCAGCTGGAGAGCTAGACTCATCCTTATGGCATTTTACCTGAACAACTCTGCCCCAAAAGCCAGCTTTGTGATCCTAATGAATGAGATCAGATTAATTAGAAGGAATCCAAGTTGTTCTGTGTAGAAACAAAGGAACTGATAAATAAAAGCCCATTAATGAAACAATTGGCTTCCTAAATAAGAAAAGGCAGGGCCAAGACAAACAAGGGACAATTAGAGCTGGCTTGTGCATGGTTCCACACCTTGCCCTAGCTGGAGCAATCAAGGCTTATTCATTGCTCCATTAAGTACTAATGGAGTGCCAACAAACTGCTTGGAATTTTATAGGCAGGGACAGCATCTGCAGCTCCACCTCTGCCCAGATAAGTACGCACAGCACAATCCTGTCCACAGGTGTTCAGAGTCTTCAGGGCCTCTGAATTCAGTTCTATTGACCTGTACTAAGTATATATCATCCAATTTCAGTCTGAGAAAAATCACAAGGAAAAGCAAAACAAACTTCAAGGGTGCTGATTAAAGTATATAATTATGGCCTCAATGCATTTCAGCCCCAAATGACCCGAAAAAAGGATTATACTGAATAATAATTATTCTAAAATAATTCCTTTAAGGTGAAGCTTAGGACAGGTATCTCTTCTGGAAAATGAGTTTCTCACCCATGGCCATCCTGGCTGGGGCTGTTGAGAAGCATATCTCTTCTTGTAGGTTAATAGTGTATGGTAATGCCCAAGGATTCCAGAGTATCTGGATCTTGTTCAGCTTTGCTTCTGACATGGATTACAGAGCAAGACAATTCTGGTAGGTTATTTATGCTTGGAACTGAAGAGAAGGAAAGTGCCCATGTCTGAACCGTTGGATGTTTTAGTAGTGTTTGATCTCATTGTTCAAGGCATGCTTTTGCATATTCTGGCAAAGATAAGCCTTGGATATACTGTTTTGAAAGGGTATGCCATGAAGGCCATGTTTCATGAAGTAATACAGGGGTCTTCCATTCCTCCATGTGATCTTTAGCTTATGCTATGCTCCATGCTAATGCTGTCCATCTCATTCATGGAGATCTACAGTCAGTGAAGGACCAGACATAAGGCTTATCAGCACTTATGGTTTCAGCTGTTCCTGTCCTATGCTCAGGATGGCTTGATGTTAAGCTGATTTAAGAAAATCTGTCTGGACTGAGATCCTGTGGAACCAGCTTGCAGGGTATTCACTCTGTGTCAGCCTTACGAGGTAGTCCAGATAAGAAACACATCCAGGAGTACTAGCTCTATCTTTATTGTAAGGTTACACTAACAGAATCTAGCAAGTCTGGAAGTACATCTCTCTTCCCTCGCCTTTACACTCCAAGAAACTAGGAAGGGTCCCTTCTGAGATTTTTGCAACCCCCCATTCCTTCTGCTGACTCAGCTGCCGCTTGTCCAACCATTGTCTAGTCTGCAGCATTTCCACCTGTCTCCCAGGGTAATTCACACATACCATCATAGTCTGGACTGCAGGCTATTGCGATCTCCCATTGGACAAGTCCCCTGCTACTGGGCCTTTCCACCTTTCTGTTCTGAAAGCCAATTGATTTCCTTTCTGTAGGCGGGTCATCCTAGACACATACCCTCAGCCACATATATCCTATTATATGTGTGTGTGTGTGTGTGTGTGTGTGTATACTATATTATACTAAACTAAACAATACTATGAGAGAGAGAGATGATAGATACACACAGAGAGAAAGAGAGAAATAAATTAAATTTATATTTATAAGGTTAACAAAACCATCAGGGGTAAAAGGCTGTTACCCAAGGCCCCAAATACCCCATAGGTTGCTTTAAAGTTACTTGAAAACTGAGGGCAAATGCCTTTTATCACAGGGGACTGGAAAATCAGTAGGTCTCATCTGAGGAGCCAGATGAAGAGTGTCTCTCCCATAAACAATATGGTGAGACGTAATTTACAGAAACCTATTCCACATCAGTCATTGACCAGCTCAACAAAGACCACACTGGGTGTTCTAGTTCCTGGACATCTGGTGACAAGTGGGCTACAGGACACAGAACTCTTGGCTGAGCAACCAGGGCCAGCAGCTCCAGGACTACTGGAAGAAAAGTTGTGTACCTGTCACAAATAAACAAAGACTGAAAACAAAGAAATAATGATCTGCTATTACAAATCAAGCCAAACGAGAAGAGGATATCTTAAAAGAATGCACCAATTCTGGAAAGAACAACATCCAGAATCAGAAGTAACAGAACAGAGGCTAACAGATCAACGTTGATTTATAATAAGAAATAAAGAATTCACAGAAGTAAAATTGGAAGAACTGCAAACGTCTACCCAGGGCAAAGAAATCGAAGCCTTGCCAAAGTAGCTCAGACTGTAGAGGCAAACCGGGGGAGTCGGCAGTAGAGGAAGCCAGCATAGCTATTGAATCATTTTCATTCCCAAACCAGGCACCCTCTCCTCTGCCTTCTCCTCAAACAAAACAAAGCCCTCTAACTAAAAAACAAGAGGAATTGAAACAAAGAATAACCAAGCATCTAGAACAGCACAAAAAGAACAGAATAAGGTTGCCTGTATTGAAGCTTGTTACAAAGAAACAGCTAGCACAAGTATTAAAAGATGCCAATATTGTAATATCAAATATAAGCAGAAGCTCACTGCAAGAAACAAACCAACTAATGTACAGCATGGCTGCAGTTATGACTGAATACCTTGGGTGGAAAATCAACAAACAAAAAAGCCAAACAGTGCACCACCAAAATGGAAGATCAGGTTGGAAATTAAGATCAGTATGCTAAGATCAGATGCAAGGAAGCTAGAACAGATGAAAGAAAAGAAGCTGAAGAACAAGAAGACCAAAGAATACCTGATCAAGAATCCTAGAAACAAGGAAAATCTAAGAAGCACTGGAAATAATAAAGCAACAAATAACAGCCATAGCCAAAAAGATCAGTAGATATGAAGCTCAAATTGCACACTATAGGCAGAATCTCCAATTTCAGTCAAATCAGAAACATTTCTACCAATCCATCAGAGGGGAGACTGCAATGAACCAGTCAACACCTGACAAAGAAGAAACAGTGCAGTTCTGGGTGCAGCTATGGAAAACCCAAAGAAATACAACAAGAATGCAGCTTGGATAAAGGAGGTGGATAAGAATAAAAAAGAAGCTGAAATGAAAGCAACTTTCAAATCGCTAACTGGTGTGGTAGCTAATGCAGTCCAACAGCATCTAGTTGAAAATAAACTCTTTCCATCTGAGCAGAAAGGAAACTACCCAAATATCAAAGGAACAAAAGCTCAGCTTCTAATTGACAAGATGATTTTGGAAAGCTGCAACAGAAGGAAGACCAACTTGAATGTAGCATGGATTGTTTACAATCCTTTGACTCCCTGCCACATGATTGGATAATCAAGTCTCTGCAAATAACACAAGTCAGTAGAAACATCAGAAGCTTTGTGCAAAGATCAATGGCAGAATGGAAGACACAGTTGCTGGTCAATGGTGATAGATTGGGAGAGGTTAATATCAAGAGAGGAATCTTTGAAGAAGATTAACTGTCACCACTACTGTTTGTCATTGCACTGATGGCTCTGTCAACAATGCTGAACAAGTCAGGCCATGACTATCAAATATCAAAAACATCTGCCAGGCTATCCCACCTCCTTTACATGGACAATCTGAAGCTGTATGGAAAAACAGCTGTATGAAATAGAATCGCTGCTCAACACTGTCCAAATATACATCCAAGATATTGCAGTAGAGTTTGGACTGGACAAGTGTGCCACCCTTACCATCAACAGGGGGAAAATGGTGAAAACTGAAGAAATCAAGATGCCCTATGGAAATAACATTAAGAATCTGGATGAAAAAGATCACTACAAATACCTGGGCATCCTTCAAGCTGACAACATCAAGCACATTGAAGTCAAGAAGAAGGTTAGGAGTGAATACATTATGAAAGTGAAGAAGATCTTAAAGTCCTAATTCGGTGGAGAAAATGCCATCAAGGCAAATAACACCTCAGCAATTCCAATGATTAGATACACAGCTGGAATAGTGGACTGGACTCAAGCAGAACTAGAAGCCCTGGATAGGAAGACCAGAAAAATAATGACAGTAAATCATGCCCTTCATCCACGCAGTGATGTTGACAGACTCTACTTACTAAGGACCATTGGTGGGTGTGGAATGTTGCAAGCACACCAGATAGTTGAAGAAGAAAAAAGGGCATTGGAAGAATATCTGAAGGACAGTGAAGAAGATGCACTGAAGCTAGTACACCATGAAGGCTTACTGAAGAGGCCACACTGGCCTTCCAGAAAGACCAAATGAAAAATAGAAAAGAGACATGTCAAACCAAAGTATTACATGGTCAGTACCCAAAAAAACTAGCAAGCAAAGCAGTTAACAACAAGACCTGGCAATGGCTAAGAGCAGGAAAGTTGAAGAAAGAGACAGTGGAACTAATTCTGGCTGCACAAGATTAAGCCTTAAGAACAAATGCATATAAAGCCAGAACTGAGAAGACAGCAACAGACAGCAAATG